GCTATAGGGCGCATGCGCTCACCAGACAGACAGACAGAGACATAGAGACAGAAAGCGAGAAATCACCCCCCAGGGGGGATGGTCACGCCGCAATCCTTTCTCCTCATTCTCTTCTCGGGATCTTGGGCATGCACGCACACGTGCCCGGCGTGAGTTCTAAGCCACCAGTTCCGGGACACGAAACGCGGTCAACCACATGGGAATCCAGTGACATAGCCATTACGCTAACTGCTGGTTCACTAAAATAATTCTTTAAAAAAATTGAAAAAAATAAAGTTCAAATTTTTTTTCTTTTTCTTTTTCTTTTTTTTTTTTTTTTTTTGAGAGATTTTTGCTATAGGGCGTGTGTGCTTGCCGGGAATACAGAGAGAGACGCTAACTGCTGGTCCCATAAAGTTCAAATTATTTTTAAAAATTATTTGCGACCAGCAGATAGTGTAATGGCTACATTGCCGGATTCCCATGTATCGACTGTGGTTCAAGTCCCAGACCCAGTGGCTTAAACTCACGCCGGGCGTGTGTGCGTACCTGCCCAAGATCCTGAGAAGAGAATGGAGGAGAAGGGATTGTGGCGTGGCCATCCCTCCAGGGCATGATTTCTCACTTTCTGTCTCTGTCTCTCTGGTGAGAACACGTGCTCTATAGTGAAAACCTCTCCAAAAAAAAATTATTTTAAAAAAAACAAAAACAAAGTTAAATAAATAACTGATTCCTTATTTTAAAAATTAAAAAAAAAGAGAAGATATTGGGAAAAAGAAGGGAAAGGGAAGTCTTGGTAAATGGTAAGGGCCTTGCAGGCCAGACTAAGGTGGTTGATAAGTATAGAAGAAATGGGAGTTATGGCCAGTATCGGGGGAAAGGTGATTACAGATTCAATATGAGAAATAAGCCTAACCAGGGTGTCCCGACCCGGGGGGACAGCTGAACAGTTTCCTGAGTGAAGGAGTGAGAGACGGGACAAGCTGCGTAGTGTTACAACACGGAGACGACAGTGTCGTCTGTTTACTGTGGGCAGCACGGTACAGCACAGAGACGACGCAGTGTCACAGCTCTTAAGGGTCGCGTCGTCTACCGTGAGCAGCACAGAGACAACGCAGTGTCACAGCTCTTCAGGGTCTGCCAGGTCGTCTGGAGACTGCACAGTGTTTCAACTCTTCAGGCTCTTCAGTCGTCCTCTTCCTGGTCATCGTCATCTTCCTGGTTGTCTGTGTCATCTGGCTACTGTGGGCCAGGTATTGTGGTTATATACATGCTGGTGGGTTGTAAACGGTGGGCCCTGATTGGTTGTAAATGGTGGGCCCTGATTGCTGTAAACGGTGGGCCATGATTGGTTGCTTTTGGACCAATCATGAGGTGCCAGATATGCAAATTTGAGGGATTCTAGTGGCCAATCAGAGCAAGGTTTTGAAGGTCAGGTTTTTTTTTGAAGGGAACCAATCATGGCAATTGTTTGCTCTCTGAGGAACCTCAGCAGACTCGCTGGTGCGCAGCTTCCCACACCAGGGAAGTAGCTTTTTCCTTTTTTAATGAATGAATTTTTTTTGGAGAGGTTTTTGCTATAGTGTGTGTGTGCACTAACCAGAAAGAGAGATAGAAAGCGAGAAATCACTCCCCAGGAGGATGGCCATGCCACAATTCCTTCTCCATTCTCCTCTCGGGATCTTGGGCACACACACACACAAGCCCAGCGTGAGATTACGCCACCGGGTCTGGGACTCAAACCGCGGTTGACTACATGGGAGTCCAGTGACATAGCTATTACACTAACTGCTGGTCCTGGGAAGTAGCTTTTGAAAATAAAGTGGGAAGAATGAACTTCTATTGGAAATGCACCATTTTCTTTGCTTTCTATTTTTTTAAATTTTATTTTATTTATTCATTTATTCATTTAAATTCGACCAGAGAGAGACACAAAGAAAGAGAATGAGAGGAAGTGAGAAAGCAAGCCACCAGGTCCAGGACTTGAACCGTGGTTGACCATGTGAGAATGTTCAGCACCTTAACCACCATGCCATCAGCTGATCCCTTGCTTTCTGTTTTGAGATTGTAAACCAACCTGGCCTGATTTCCATCTCATTTTCATTTAATCTAAGCATTACGGACTCCACAATTTCTCTAGTTCAACGCATCTACCAAGCTAGATATGTACCAGGCCTTTAAATGGCTACCATGGGAGACCAGCAGGTGGTGTGGTGGTTAAGGTGCTGGACACACCCACATGGCTGACCACATTTCAAGTCCCGGACCTGGTGGCTTGCTTTCTCATTTTCTCTGTGTGTGTTTGTGTGTGTGTGTGTGTGTCTGGTCAAATTAAAATAAATGATGAATAAATAAAATAATTAAAAACAGTGAAACATTTAAAAAATTAAAAATAAATAATTCTAAAATAAATAAATAAATGGCTACTATGGCTACTAGTTCCATGCTCTGACATGGCTACCAGCCTAACTCCATAAATAGCTCCTGCATATTTGTGGGGAGGGTTTTGGAAGGGGTCTTCTCCAGACAGGGTCTAGGTGAGAGGCTCTTTTTTTTTTTTTTTTTTTAAACTTTATTTACTTATTTCAGTTTGACCAGAGAGGGACTGAGAGAGAGACAGAAAGTGCTTTCTTCCTCTTGCTCACACTCTGTCTCACTCTGGTCAAATTAAAATAAGTAAATAAATAAATAAAGTTAAAATAAAATAATTCTTTGGGACCAGCAGTTGGTCTAATGGCTATGTCACTGGACTCCCACGTAGTCGACTGTGGTTCGAGTCCCAGACCCGGTGGCTTAAACTCACACTGGGTGTGTGTGCGTGCGTGCCCAAGATCCTGAGAGGAGAATGGAAATGTGGCCCCCAGGGGATGATTTCTCACTTTCTGTCTCTCTGTCTGTCTCTTTCCGGTGAGCACATGTGCCCTATAGCAAGAAAAACCAAACCAAAAAAAAAGAATAGAAATTTAGAGACCAGCAGATGGCGTAATGGTTATGTCAGTGGACTTTCACGTGGCCAGCTATGGTTTGAGTCCTGGGCCC